AACTTTAAGCCAAAAGCTCTTTGTTGACCAAGGGTTTTTTTTCCTTTTCTTAAAGTTCAGCATCAGCTTAAATAATTATAAAACATATAAGGAGAATAGAGTGAAAATAAAAAGCCAGCTATAGATTGCCACCTAGAGAAACCTATTGCTGAAACAGCACGGAAGTTAATGGAGGGCCTTTTCCTTTCCCACATTACAGTTGGTTTTTGAAATTCAACTGATGAAATGACAAAGGTAACTGATGTCACATGAAGGCTATTTCACACTTAGAAAGCCCAGTCGTGCTACACAGTGCAATGGGGGCAGGGAGTAATTCTGGCTACGGGGAAGTAATTTTTACAAACTGCAGCATTCCCTCCGTAGGTGTCATAAAACAACCACACACACACACACACACACACACACACACACACACGAGGAAACATCTCAGGGGAAGACTATTCCTGGTACCTTTTGCCAGGAGTTCTCCCCTATGTTTCCTATGCAAGATATCAAGGTAGGATGGACTGTCCAGCCACTGCACTTCAAACTGAGGGCACTTAAGTAGCTTTTACATAGGCCAATAATTTCAAAACAACATCTTAATCAGAGAAGAGGAGGAGGAGGAGGAGGAGGAAGAGGAGGAGGAAGAGGAAAGGGCAATAAAAGCAAAGTCTCTGCTAGGTATCAATACAGATACAAGACAGTAAGTGATACCTTAAGTCAAACTAGTTGAAGATCAAGTGACAGAAGTGTGATCACTCACCATGAACAAAAGTGATAAATCATATATAAAAATATGCAATGACTGTAGTTTACTCATTTAGTCAGTCAACAATTTTTTTTTTGAGGAGAAATTTTTGCTGTAGGGCACATGTTTTCACCAGAGAGAGAGAGAAACAGAGACAAAAAGTGAGAACTCACCCCCCAGGGGGGTGGCCAGTCTGTAATCCCTTTCCCTCCATTCTCCTCTCAGGATTTTGGGCACACACATACACTCACCCAGTGTGAGTTCCAAGCCACCAGGTCCAGGATTCTAACCGCTGTCAGTCCAGTACCTTAACCACTACACCACCTCCTGGCCCCTAATTCAACAACTATTTTATTGAGCACTAGCTACAAAGTAAAATTTTAAAAACAAACAAAACAAAACATACATTACTCTTTTGACTCTCCTGAAGCTTAAAATCTGTTTAATGAAATTCTGCTACTACAAAGAAAGTGATAAAATTAAGTGGGGAAGCATGATATTCTGGAAAGAGTATTGGTCTTTGAGTTCTAGGATTTGAATTCCAATCCCATGTCTGTCAATTACTAGGCAAGCAATATTGGCTCTGTCACCCAACTTCTCCAAGCCTCAGTTTCATACCTTGAAAAATGACATAAGATAGTGCTTCCCTCATAGCTCAATTATAAGGATCACTGAGAAAATATTCAAATAAGTTTTGAGAACTGTCAAAACAGGTACTGTTACTGCATTGTGTAAAAATGATTAAATCCCCTGCAATAACTAATTGTAGTTGTTAGGCCGGAGGCCTGGGCAGCTTGGATGTGGGGGGTGGACGCCACGCCACAGTTGGCTGATGCAACACAGATCCAGTCTGGCATCAGACCTGCACTGCAGTCAAATCTAACCTGGATGTAGCACAGGGCATTCTGCTCTGCACACGGCACTCTACTCTGCACATGGCGCTCTACTCTGCACACGGCACCAGACCTTACGTGGAGCACAAGTCTGATCTTCCTCTAAACCTTTACCATACATGGACTATTCCTATCCCTAAGACACTCCCCCTCCCTATACCCTTATAAAAATTGCTAAACCCTACTCCAGAACACAACTTTTCTGGCCCGTCTCCCTTCCTTCCTCTCCCTTTCTGTTGGACCAGTGAACCTCACCCGAGAACATTACCAATCAAGGCTCTACATTTCTGTTTTCTAGCGTGGTCGGCCCATTCCTTATAGTAGTTGCTGTAGACGGTATACTGGAAGTCTACTTGTCAGACAATACAGTTCAACGCTGACTGCCCAGTATCACAACATAGCACGACCCCTATTCAAAGTTCCAGCCTTTCTCCAAGTAATCCTCCGTGTGTCAAATTCCATTCATATTTTCAGGCAATGTTCCAGTCATAGAAAGAAAAGTGAGTCAAATGGACTTTGCTCAGACCTCCACACCAGACAACTGCCAAGTGTCTTGACTCCCAGGGTATGTGTTTGTTGACCCTATTTGAATCTTTTTTTTTTTTTTGAGAGAGAGATTTTTGCTATAGGGTACATGTGCTTAAGAAGTTATTCCCCAGGGGGATGGCCATACCACAGTCACTTCTCTTCCATTCTCCTCTCAGGATCTTGAGCATGCACACACACACACCCAGCATGAGTTTTTATAGTCATCGGATCTGGGACTTGAACCGCAGTTGACTCCATGGGAGTCCAGCAACCATGACGCCATCTGCTGGTCCCCCATTTGAATCTTAACAAATGATAGAACATTCAAAACACAGACAGCTTGTTTAGTAGAAGAAAATGACCCTCGCTTTCATTACAACCATATTAACTGCACTAAGGTTTTCTTTAAAGTCGTTCTGCTCTTCTTATGGAAACCACTGTCCTTAAGAATTATAAATTGCTTAACACATGACCAAAATCTAAAACATTAAAATTAAACACAGGAGGAAAGTAAATTGATCTTGGCCTAATTCTGGTTTGCAATGTGTCTGTCACAATGAACACAAATCTGTGACCCACTGAAGAACATCAGGCATGAGAAGCAGTTACTATCTGAGTGTGTTTTGTGAAACTGTGAAATCCAAACAGTCTGTCTCTTTTGGACTGGAAAAGCAGAATAACCCTGTTTTTCCTTAAACACTGGCGAACATATCCTGGGATAGCTAAAAGTCAACTTGGTCTTCCCCTTCCTGGCCCACGCAAAAATAAATAGTCATGTCAGACCGAAGATGTGATATTCCTGAGGAGGGTTTCATGAAAGAGAGGAAAGAACAAGAAAGCGATCATAGCCAAGGGGCTTTCTAGCATTTTCGATCACATTACCTTGTTTCAGGAAGCAGGAAACAGGAAGCAATGCAAGTGCAGGGGAAGTTCCTACAGAAATGATGCTCCCATCGGGTTATCAGCTGGATGGGTGCTGACGTTCCTTGGCCTTTTCCGCACAAACCCACTCCCAGCCAGTCTTCTGGAAGTTTAGCTCTGAGGACTATGGTGGGACAGAGCCACGTTCCCGTAGATGCCACCAGCCCCGTCCCACTGGTCCCACGTCCACATTGTCTTTTTTCTTTCCGATATCTTTCTGGAATAACTAACACTCCCCTCCCTTCATCCTCACACAGAAGAGTTTCACCCACACCCTTTTTCTCAAGCTGAGATTTACTTAACAGTCGCCAACACGTACAGCAAAAGCTCTCGGCCAATGAAAAAGGGAGAAGAGGGAAGCAGGACAGGCAGAGCACGAGGACACTCCTAAACAAAGGGGGAGGCAGCTCCCACCAAGTCACTTGGCATCCCATTGCTGGAATAGGGTCCCTCCACAAGGGGCCGACAACAAAATACTGACTTAACCACCTCAAAATAAGGGACCTAAAACTCAGGACAGAAGCACAAATGCGTGTAGGTGTCCTGTCCCGAAATCCAGACTGCAGCATAGCGTGAGCAGCTCACTTGTCTTTTCAAGGTGTTGTCGTAGGACGCTCACCCTCACTGCAGATACCTGGGGAGCATCGAATGGTACTGACATTATTTTGCCCCATACTCAGCTTCTTTCTGCTCCTAGGAGCTGCAGCAGTTTGTCTTTCAGTGGGGTATTCAGCTCCCAGGCCACAGGCTGGCACTGGGCTGCACAGCAGTGGGTGAGGAGCAGGTGAGCAGCAAAGCTTCACCTGCATCACGGCCAGTGCCCACTGTTGGCATGACCTCCTGAGTTCCGCCCCCTGTCCACTGCCCATGGTGGGCATTAACTCCTGAGATCTGCCCCCTGTCCACTACCCACTGCGGGCATGACCTCCTGAGCTCCGCCCCTGTCCACTGCCCACGGTGGGCATTAACTCTTGAACTCTGTCCACTGCCCAGTGCCCACTGCTGGCATTAACTCCTGAGCTCTGCCCCCTGTCCACTGCCTATAGTGGGCATTAACTCCTGAGCTCTACCCCCTGTCCACTGCCCACTGCGGCATGACCTCCTGAGCTCCGCCCCCTGTCCACTGCCCACTGTGGGCATGACCTCCTGATTTCCGCCCCCTGTCCACAGCCCACTGCGGGCATGACCTCCTGAGCTCTTCCCCCTGTCCACTGCCCACTGCGGGCATGACCTCCTGAGCTCTGCCCCCTGTCCACTGCCCACAGTTGGCATTAACTCCTGAGCTCCGCCCCCTGTCCACTGCCCACTGCTGGCATGACCTCCTGAGCTCCGCCTCCTATCAGATCAGCATGGACACTAGACTCTCATAGGACCACAAACACTACTGTCGACTGCAGATGCAAGGGATCTTGGTCCTAATACCTGATGGTCTGAGGTGGAATTGAGACAGTGATGCTAGCACTGGGGAACAGCTGCAAATACTGTATTCTGATGAGCTGCATAATTATTTCTTTATATATTAGAATATTTTGTTATTTTTTTTTCTTTTTTTGTAAATGTTTTTGCCTTAGGGCATGTGCACTTGCCCAAGAGAAAGAGACAGAGACAGTGTGAGGAAAAGTGAGAAATCGCTGCCACAATCTCTTCTTCCACTGGCCCCTCTATATTACAGTGTAATCGTAACAGAAGTAAAGTGCACAGTGAGTGTAATGCACTTGAGCCATCCTCCACTTCCCCACGAAACCCATCCCTGAAGTCAAAAAGGCTGGAGACTGCTGGTGTAGGCCTTCGGCTTAGTGACAGGCGAGCGAAGCTCTGCCTTGTGAGCAGTAAGAGGCCGTGCATGACTCTGGCTCCCACACTTAAAAACCTGCCTGTGGGTTCCACAGACACGACAGGGCGCCCACACCGAGCACCTTCAGACTTACTTGTATTCCTGTGACTGTGGTTCCCCGGGGGAGAGGCACCCGCTGTCCACGCAGGAACGTGCTGGCTGGGATGTGCGGTCGGCACCGCAGGGCTCGCATCGTAGACTGTGTTTGTAAGAAGGACATCAGGCAGCTGGACTCTCCCGTCAGTGACCAAGGGTTCGCTCCCATTTGATTTAAAATAGGTCTTTTTCAATGTTCCTGAAAGAAAAAGAGGTTTTTAAACACTACTGGAAGCTAATATGTTAAAGAGTACATTAACAAACTCTGGGAGGAGAGGGATAGACAGTGGTGCAGTGTGGTAAATGTGACTCTGTGAGGCAATCCCACAGGGGAAGGTCCCAAGTTCAAGTCTGGGGACCTCCCTGAGTACTCAGGGCACTCGCTTGCCCATGGTACGGGGGCCAGCTGAAAGCTGGGGTGGAACCACTGAGTCAGGACCCTGTTAGAGATGCTCTCTCGCCCTCTCTCTCTCTTTCTGTCTCTTTCAGTCATAGAAAGACTAAATAAATACACTTAAATAGAACAACAGAACACTCCAGAGACCTACCAGTGGCACAGTGGGGCAAGAGCACTGCAAAGTTGGCCCACCTGGTAAGGTTCTGGGTGTGAACCCGGAGGCCTCTCTGAGTAAACCTTGCCCATGACCCAGGGCTGGCGAGGGCTGGCAGTGGATCTGGCATTGAGAGCCTGCTGGACACGCTGTCTCTCTGTCTCTCTCTGCCTCTCTTGCTCATGAAAGAGATAAATAAACTTTAAAAGAAAGGAAGGAAACACTAAGGCTGCTTTCCCGTGTGTCACCCTATTCAAACACAAAGAGAAAAATGGCGGCCACCGCAACTAACTCTTTCACGTCGGCAATCAAGACTTTCTTCTCTTCCACAAATCACGCAGCCCTATAACGGAACTCTGGCTTTCCAAGGGCATGAGGCTTAGAAATGAGACTCCCACATAGAGCTTCCTGGTACTAAAGAACTGAGGGCACTTCTACCTCATCTGGGACTGCCCAGAAATCCAATGTGGTAAGTCTTACAGGCTAAGAGTTCCTGCTCTTTCCGTTTCCCAGTTTCACCCGTTATGCTACTCGGCACCTAGGACACACTCGCTCCTAGCACTCTACCTGCCACTAAAGGACACAATGGTGCCAGCTTAGCTGTCGCCTTAGACTGCCCCAGACTTTGCACTGAACTTCAAGAAACCATGTACAATATACAATTAAAAGAGTGGGGCCTGTGTGCGGAATACTGAGATGTACACCATGGAAACTACGTAGAGCAAAACCCTAACCACAGCACTGTCTAAACAAGAAACTAAATTCTCTTCATCTTTGACCGGAAACTATAAAATATAATGGCAAACAACTGTAAAAACAGTCATTCAAGTAAGATTATCAACTGGTCACTTTTCAAGGTGACCAGTTCATTGGCACCAGGTGATCCATTCATTGACAAAATAAGGAGTCCAGTTGAAGAGGATGGAGAATCGCCGGGTTTTGTCTTTAGGCAGAAACTGTTGAAAGCTTTGAAAAGGATTTGTATTTTTAACTCAGTCAAAATACACAGCAGACTCTATTTCCAGAAGGCAGCTCTGTAGCTGAGCATGCCACAAAAATAAATGAATGCAATATTGATCCACCCATAGACATACCCAAGGGAGATTTTCTTTCCCCCTAAAAACATGCACGGTGACTGCTCTAAGTGGTTCTCACTTTTCTAAATAGTTCCATGGACAATTAAAAATAAAAGAAATATAAATAAAATGTTTAATATCAGTCTATGGAAAAAATTTCTCTGCATGTGCTTGACACTTGGAGAACGTTAACTACAAATCAAAATAGCAAAGCAGCTGTTTTCTAGTTAAGGTCAACAGTTTCATCTGTCAAAGAATCCTAAATAAAGTGTCAGAGTGTAAAAGCTAAATTATGACACATGATTTAGGTACCACATTCTCCAAACCGCCCATGTGATTAGAAGCAAATACTAAACACGGCTGGTGAAATGAAGGATTTCATTTCATTGTTTTTGATTTTCAAAATAATTTACAATTTACCCTAAATCAAAATAAATGTGTTCATTTATCCAGAACATTTTTTTACTCAATTATATACCATCTTACTGTCATCTACTTGTTCGTTTTCCTTTTCCTTAGGTATCTTAGCACGAAGAGGTTTTCCACGTAATATGGTATTTCCCCTAATGCGTCTATAATAAATATATGCGATCCATCAAGCTTGGTCTGCAAACCTGTAGCAAATCCCATTGCTTGTGCGTATGCTCCTTTGTAATTCTTTCTTCTTTTTTTAAACAATTATCTATTTATTTATCCATTTATCTGTTGTGATTGTCAGGCCACTGGGTCTGGGGCTTGAATGGCAATCAGCCATTTGGGAGTCCGGTGCCTCAACCACCACGCCACCTACTGACACTGTGTATTATAATTCTTTTAAAGAGAGTTCTCGTATGAAATATGTTAGCAGTTGTTCTCCACATTCTATTTGTAACTTAGCTTTATTGCAATCCTTCTTTTACCTTTTTCACCTAACCACAGCGGTGAAAGTGTTATTATCTGTTTACAAGAAATCCTTTGATGGGCCAGCAGATGGCATAGCAGTTGTCACTGGACTCAAGAAACCATGTATAATATACAATTAAAAGAGTGGGGCCTGTGTGGTTCAAACTCAAGCCAGGTGCGTGTGCGTGCGTGCCCAAGATTTTCAGAGAGGAGAATGGAGGAGAAGGGATTGTGGTGTGGCCATCCCCCCTGTTGGGTGATTTCTTGCTTTCTGTCTCTCTGTCTCTCTCTGTGTCTCGGGCGAGCACATACATCCTACAGCAAAAATATCTCTTTAAAAAAAAATAAATAAAGCCTGCGTACACTGGACAATTTGTTTTCAAGCATCTCTGGATAAAGCCTGCGGTCACTGGACAATTTGTTTTCAAGCATCTCTGGAAACAGATGGACCCCCATCGCGTGTGTCCCAACTCTGTTATGTGTTTTGAAGAAAGCACAAGAATTAGAGCGTAAGAGGACTGCGTGTTCTCAGCCTGGCCCATGACCAGCCATAAAACACTGTGAGCTATTACCCCAGAGCATTCCTTCCTCCAGTGTCACCCGTCCTTTCCTGAACTCCTGTTTTTATAGGGCTGTGCTTAAAAGTACAGGCCCGACAGCCTGACCACCTGGGATCAAATCCCATCTCTACCACTGACTGGTCCTAGAATTTTGGGCAAACTCTCAAGAACCATAAAGGGAGGAACATAGAAGCTCCTTCCTGGTGGGGCAGCTATTGGGGTCACACTTGTCAATACATATGCAAATGCTTAGAAGGGCTCCAGGTAGCACGTTCTCCATAGCAGTCATCAGTACACTGTCTTCCTCAGGGCTACTAAGGCGCCCGTAAGTAAATACCGATTTCTTTTGACTGTGAGTGCATCCCTACATTACAAAAGGCAAAAAGTGAATCGTTTAACCCATTTTTTGAGTCAGAAAGCTGTGGTTATTTCAACCTAAGTTATGCATAGAAAGCCACATGACATCCAGGCTGTACTGCTCAACACAGTGTTTCAGGCCTAGCCCTGGTGGTGCAGGCCTGGGACATCTGCACATGGGGCCACATGGGAAGCTGGTTTCCCATCCCAGGGAGACCTGAAGACAGCGGGCTCCCTGTGTGCTTGTGGTCCCAGCTGGCTGGAGGCAGGGGAAGGCCTGCAGTAGGCAAGACCCTGTCAATGGTACATGTCTCTCTCTCTCTTGCTCTCTGTCTCATGAAAGAAAGAAAGAAAAAGAAAAAAAAAAGATTTCAGGGGCCAGCTCTGGAGCTCTCCCTGTGTGTAGGGAGTCAGAGCCAGTATGACTGACCATGGTTCAACTCCTCATCCTAATAGTTTGAAAACTATGCCGGGTGCCTGTACACGCATGTCCAAGATCCCGGCAGGATAAAGAAGGACTGTGTCATGGCCCCTGGGGGACAGAAGGCTTTCTCTTTCTGGCAAGCACACACATCCTCTGGCAAATTAAAAAAAAAAAAAATTTGTTTCAGCTCTACAAGAAATTAATTAAGTTTAAGAATTAGTGTAGGGACCAGCAGGTGGCATGGTGGTTTAAGTGCTAGATTCCCACTTGGCTGTCCATGGCGTGAGTCCCAGAGCTGGTGGCTTGAAAATCATGCCAGTTGCATGTGCATGCGTGCCAAAAATCCTGAGAGAAGAATGGAGGCGAAGGCTTTTCAGTCTGGGGAGTGATTTCTCACTTTCCCTCTCTCTGTCTCTCTTTGGTGAGTACCCTATTGCAAAAACCTAAATTAAAAAAAAATAAATCTGTAATTCTAATAATAATAGCAAAATGCCATTGATCCCTGACAGTAAACAGACTAGAACTTGAAAGGCAGAGTAATGCTTCCCCAGAGATATCCTGCCTGCTCTCCGGGGCCAGGGAGATGGCCCTCTGCAGCTGTGATTGCTACAGACCACAGATGACGGGATCACCCTGGATTACGCAATCTGACCATGCGGGCCTTCTTAAGGAGGAGATGGGAAGTAGGAGGCAGAGCCATGGCTGCGAGAAAGATTCACCGGTCATTGCTTGATTGAAGGGGGAGCGCGAGCTAAATTACGAACGTCCCACTTCTAACCTCTAGACGCTAGAAAAGGCAAGGAAATAAACCATCCCCTAACCTCCAGAAGGACCTTCATTTTAGCCCAGAGAGACCCATTTTGGAGTTACAACTTTCATACCTCTAGGATTTTAATACAGTTTTTTTTTTTTTAAGAGGTTTTTGCTATAGGGCGCGTGTGCTCGCCAGACAGACAGAGAGAGACAGACCGAGAGACAGAAAGTGAGAAATCACCCCCCAGGGGGGATGGCCACACCACAATCCCTTCTCCTCCGTTCTCCTCTCCAGATCTTGGGCACGCACACATACGCGCCCGGCATGAGTTTTAAGCCACCGGGTCTGGGATTTTAGTACAGTTTTTTAAAAAGAGTCATTTGTTGAATTTTGTTTATTAATTTACTTTTATTTTGTTATAGGGCACATGTGCTCGTGAGAGAGAGAGTGAGCCACCAGGTCTGGGACTCGAACCATGGTCAGTCATGTGAGAGTCCAGCGCCATCACACCACCTGATGGCCCAATATAAATAGTTTCAAGGTACCACATGTGCAGCGATTTGTTACAGCGCCAATAAGAAACCAATACGGGCAC